CAGAAGACTATCACGTGACTTTAGCTTTCTGCCCTGTCAGCTCCCGAATTGGGACTGATATGGATGAAGCAATCAAGAAGATACCAGGTATGACTGTTTAAAAACATTGAATTTACCTATTTATAAGCATTATATATCTATTTTTAGTGTCAAACAAAACTGCTAGCTCTTTTTATCAATGCTTTGTTAGAAAAATAAAGCCTGCTGTATTTACACTAAATATTGACTTAATGTTTTGGTAGCTTTTTAAATAATTAATCATTCATGTCAGATTGTGACACATTATAAGGACTTTGATGGGGTTGACTGTTGCTTTAGTTCAGTGGTTCCCAGTCCTGTCCTGATAATAATTGAAGCCTCAATTGAATATTTGTATTTTGTTTCTAATCACGTGTTTGGGATGTTATTTTGCTTACAAAATACAATGGTTATAGCAACAACATGTTTAAGAGCTGGAAACAAACACTTCAAATTAATCTTATTGTTATTAAGTCAATGCAGGGTTTGGTTGCGCAACTGAGGGTTCATCTTGAACAAAAAAAAAACACAGGTGTGTGGGTCATCAGGACCAGGATTGGGAACCAGTGTTTTAGTGCTTCCTTAATAAGAGAGTTGGGCACAAGTCATAAGGTGATGTAACTTGTTGAATGTTCAACTCTGATGAAAAGCAAGAAAGAAAACATGGAAAGGAACACATAGGGCATGCTTATCAAGAGAATATTGCCTTTGTGTCACTGGTATGGAGATTACATGTGTCACTATGATGTGACTAGCTTAATAAGGCACATCAGGCAGACTCAACAGAAATAGATTATCATTTTTGAAATTGCAAAATTAAACATTCATTTTTAAAAAGTTAATATTTTATTCAAAACCTGAATTCTCAGATTAAAGTTTAAGTGTAAGATAAGTTACAAAAAATTAATAGTAAGCAAAACCTAAATAGAAAACATAACTGAAAAACGTTGACTGCATAAATACTCAGTTTTTTATGGAAATTTGATGTAAGCACCTTTGGCAGCAATTAATGCTCATTATCCTTAGCAGAATTTCTTATGGCTCCTCAGGTTGCTTGGAGATCACTTATGGATAGCACATTCACTTTATTTTTCTTCAGGCACCCCAGTGTAGCTTTGATCTTGAGCTTTGGATCATTGTCTTACGGAAAGATGATTTCTTCACAGTTTTAAGTCTGGAAAAAAGTGTTACAGGTTTTCCCTCAAGATCAGCTTGCACTTTGCTCTCTCTGTGTTCCCATCAGTCCTGAAAGGTTTACCATTCACAGTTGATGAGAAACAGAACTATAATACAATATCCTGTATCCTGGCTTTCTGTCAGTGTGGATCTGCCCTGATCGGTGCATCTGGTGGAAACTTCCCACATTAATTTTGTACAATTGTTCAACAGGTTGTGCATGTTTTTGGACAGTGGATTAAACTCATAATGTTTCCAATGTTGATCAGTAACAAATGCGTAGAGGGTAGTTTGAGGTCCTGTGGTCCTGATGTTGCCAAGTCAACATTTAGTCAAAGTCACTGTCAATGCTGCTAATAACCAGGACACTGCATGTTTTACAAAGAAAACTATGTAACACTGAAATGCCAGGTAATGAAAATAGAATAGTTGTACTCCAAATACCTAAATATTTTAAATATTCAGACTTTCAACAAAAGATGGTTATTCAACAAATTTATAATCTAAATGCTTATACTGTTTATTTAAATGTAATTTAAAGTAATAATGAATTCATCCATGTTAAGTAATGGTGTATCTTATAACACAAAAAACTACATGTGTTGCTGACTTGTCAAGTGGTGATGCAAGAACAACCATTTTTTTTAATAATATGTACTAGAAATGAGTTTGGTAAGGATGGTTTGTTGGCATCATCCACACAATTTCCTACATTTTACAGCCATTTAAGTCCTTTCCATCTTTTAAGATGTTTTTGAACATGCAAATAGTTCACACTGGAGACTAAAACTTGAAAGAATGATGTACCTTTTTTAGCATCATGAGAAAAGATGTTAGTGTACTGTAACTAGTATCCTGAGATTGGATAAAACAGTAAAGCCACTCATTAAAAGAGCAGATGTTTCTCTGCAATGCCCTAATACAAATCTCAAGATCAATCAGTTTAGCCTTCTAAGACACAGCAGTGTGCCTTTAGTACAAGAGAGGAATTTGTTTTAACATATTCTGAAGCATCACAGTGTCTATACTAAATGGATATACTAAAACTGTGAAGAAATGCTTTAGGCTGGGAACAAAAGGCAAAATAATTCCTGTAAACCTCTAGATTGGAATATTCATACTGTATATTTTACCAATATTTAATAAATTAAGCTATATTTTTTACACATTATGATAGACATTTACATAGACCTAACCCAAAAGGTACTGTAACTATACAGTATTTAACAACAGAAAATAGAACCAGAGATTAGGAGTAACAATCTCTCAGAGGAGCAAAGTAAAAATGAACAATGACTTCTTGTTACCTGTTTGTTAAAGCTGTTCAGGAGCACACAATGCAATACAATTAACTACAGTTCAGTTAATGTTTGATTTTTATTTGCACTGCCTTTTTCTATTGCCTTCAAAGCAACAATAACATGTTTTTAACTCAAAAAACCACAACTGTACACAGTAGTCTTAATACAATTTTACCTACTGTATACATTATATATTTTAAAATATCCTTCCTTGATCTAATTATCTTTCTTTTTATTGCATATTTAAAGCTCTTTGTAGAGTTTCGATAATAATTTATGGAACTTTTCTTGCAAAAATTGATTTTTTTATTCAAAAAGGTATTTTAAACATTTTTCTTTTTCCATCTCAACAGGTGACAGGCCTGCTATTCTGGTTATGATGCACCACACTCCCTATCATGATTTGGTTTTGGCCTCAAGTAGCAGACTGGTGAACAAGAGCAACATATTAGGAACTACTGACTGTTTGTTCCATGAGGAATTGTTCCACAATTGTGAAATTAATAGAAAGGCTTTGAATTTTGTTTACACCAAGTTACGACACGTAGTTAAATAGTAAAAGAATGTGAGATGTGGACTCCCACAACACAGGCTACAGCACATGTGTGTATTTTAATTTTTAGTTTGTGTTGCTACTTTACATGCTTGCAAGATGAGTAATTGGCACAGTGCTGTTCTGTTCAACAATATCCTAAGTTCTGATGCAGCATATTCTATAATTCCCTTAACTTGTATAATAAATGCAATGTTTAGTAAGAACCAATATCTGTAGTGTTGCCTCATCTTGTCTCATCTCATCTCATCTCTTTTTTAACCACTTACTCCTGGTGAGAGTTGCAATGGTAACAGGCTGTGAAGGGCAGACCAGACTTCCCTAGCAACAGTCTACAGCCCCTCCTGGGGGATTCCCAAGCACCCTCTGGCTAGCTGAGAGATGTGATCCTTACAATCTGTCATTCTCATTCTTTCAGTCACTAGTCAAAGCTCATGGTGATGATGGTGGTGATGTAAATCAATTAGGAAACTGAAAGCTTTGTCTGAAACCTCAGATACTGCGTTACTACCACGGTTCAGTATATTGTCTGCATTACTGCAGCTGTTGCACCAAACCACTGGTCAATCTTCCGTTCCCCTTTATCCCCTAATGGATAAGTCCCTGAGGTACTTAAATTCCACTACTTGAGGTAGCTGTGCCCCCCTCACATGGTGTGGGGCACAAAATGGGGACCACCATCCTAATATGCCCATTCAGAGTAACTGTCCCTGCCTGTCATGCAATGTTGCAGAGGCACATAAACCACAACAACCCAACACAATGTCCAGCGCAACAAAGGCAAGCATACCATAGCACTTCAATGCAAAAGTATTTATTTAGTGAAATATATATAGTGATCTAGAAAAACTAACAAGAAAGGCACAAACATAAACTAGGTAGGGCAGCATGGTACAGTGGTTAGCTTTGCTCCCTCACAGTGCTGGGACCCTGGCTTCAATTTCTGGGGTGCTATCTGTGTGGAGTTCGTATATTCTCCATGTGTTCACATGGTTTTCCTCTGGGGGTTCTGGTTTCTGCCCACAGCCCAAAGACATACTGATGGCCCTAGTGTGACTGGCCCTTGTGTCTGTGTCTGTCTCCCCTGCGATGGACTGGCATCCCTGTCCAGGGTGTACTCTGCCTTGTGCCTTTTGCTTACCGAAAATGGATACATGGATAATTTAGGTATTACAACAACGTTGGTATTCAACTTCTCTGTCCCTTTTTCCTCAAACAACATTCACAATTAATGTCTCTAGCTCCTTAAACAGGAGCAAATCATTCAGGCTGGAGTATGTCACAAGATGCATTTACAAAGTTCCCCATTTTATAATTTTTACACTGTACCTAACATTTAAAACTTACTATATTTTAAACATGTCACAATATTTTAGTTTGGATTCCATACATATTTTAACTCAGAGGTACCTGGTCTCTCCGAGCTCTGCAGAACGTTTTCCTTCAGGTACAGTAGACAAATAGTATGATATGGTTCTGGTTCTTCAAACAGTATTACTGTTATGTCTTATTTTATACAAGTGTTTGTAATAATTTCACAGATCTTTGGTGTCTTAATTATTCGATGTGTTCACCCACAAAGCAATACAGGAACAAAACAAGTTAATCAATCTATTGTTTGCTTGCACGTGTATGTTTATCTTTCTTTTTCTAGTGTTTGGATTTTCATTACATAGTGGCGACTATAGGCTGAAGACTGTCTGTCATGATCCTTCTTCTGACCCAAACCAAAAATAAATTGTATAGTGTTACATGTAGGAACGTTGAGATGAGTAAACTAGTTTAGCCTCAGAAATATCCTAGGAAGTACAGTATACAATTTCCTTTCTGTATAGAGACCATAACACTAGATATGACAGCCAGCACAGACACTACTAGTTCCCAACACAATGTGATTTTATTATTTAAAACAATAAAATAAAAATAAGAATATAATATAACAATAAAGAGCCATGGTAACTCAGACGGCAAGGGCGTCCAGCTCTTCACTCAATCCCAGGTAGGGCCAAGTGATGTAGCTTGCTCTTATTCCATCTGGATGGCTCCCTTGTCCACTCAGCCTGCTTTCCAAGTGAGTACTGGGGGTTAATCCTTCTGGGGGTAATAGGTCTGCCGGAGCAGGATCCTGACCACATCACCTCCACCTTCAGTGTCGGGTGGTCAAGAAAAGTGGTGGCCCTTACCCCCCCATTTCCCCCCATGGGCCTTTATGGCCTGAAAAGCGAACCTACCTACCTATATAACAAGAAAATAAGAAGGCTCCACAGCTGAAATGTTGTGTTTCCTTTCTTCTCTTCAGCATGGAATAAACCTTTTACTTGTTCGTTTGCTGACTATAATTATATACTGTAACTAGAAAAGTTGTATTAACCAGCTCTGAAGAACACATAATAAATAACATTGTTTATCTTATTAATAAGACAGAATTAAATGTTGCTGTTCTTTTCCCAGTGAGACCCTTTCTCTCATCTCTGTGGTCCAAGCCACAGAGAAGCCATTCATGTTGGTGCACTGATTTAGGGATGTTTGTCTTCCTGATAAGGAATAGTTCCCAGGAACAGGATGCAACCAGCTATCATGATAGATGCCCACTCTTGGTGCCTGGTTGTCTAGCGAGACTCTAAGCACAACTGGATTGTGGTCCTAGGGTCAGAGGTCATGGTCAATCATTCCTCAAGTTGATCAACCAATCAGGAACCTGCAGGGCATGGAAATGCCAACTGCCCGGCAACCTCTTGACCAATCACCAACCATATTGTCCTCCAGTTAAAAGGCATTGCACAGAGCTTCGAGATTGCTCTTCCGTGCACCCTCGTGCTCCTCCAGACTCATCTGAGTAAAGGTTGACAATTGTAACGAACAGTTCTTTCCGGACCCTATGCGGACGACACAATCCAGAATCGTGAGGAAACACTAGGAAAAAGTCATGCAGTAATACGGGGATGAAAACAGGGGGACGTATCCAAAGTGCGCTGGTGCACGGGGGAGGTGTGGCCGAGGCAAACAATCCAAAAGTAATCCAGAAAGGGAATCCAAAAAACACAAGAATAAGTCCATAGCCAGGTGATCCATCCAACAAGGAGTTAAAACACGAACCGGATCGGAACCGGCGGACAGGGAACGGGAACAGAAATTAAAACCTTAACGGGACCAGGAGCTTCCAGGTCCCAGACTCGCACGGTGCGGAAACCAGATGCAGAGCCAGGATGAACGTCAGGGCCTGGCTTTTAAGGTGGACTGGGAACAGGGGTCAGGTGCACAGAATTAAATCCAAAGTGAAAGAGCCGGAGCGCCCTTAAAGAGGAGGAACTACAATCGTGACAACAATCACGTGACTGCCAGTGCTGCTGTATGAGTGTGCTCTGTCCGCGCAGTCACCTGTGTGCACAGATTCAGTAGTTCAGTGCGAGGCGAACTAACAGGTGCCCAGAGAGTAACGACCGTCCAGCATGAAGCCAACGGAGGAACTCCCTCTCCTTCTCCCAACAACTCTGAGCCGCAACAGGACTGGGTGGGCATCAAGCCAGGAGACCACGGATTGGATACCGCTTCCACAGAGGCTGTCAGCTGTTCCTTCGCTGTCTGTGCCGGGAGATACAAATCCATACTGAATGAGTATAAATCCAATACCTCAACACAGGTTGATATAAATTTAATTTGTATAAGTAACATATTTACTAATGAGTATCTAATGTAGAATCTGTATTAACGAGGCTGATTAACGAGATAGTGTAGTTGAATGGTATACTAAATGCATATTTCTTTGTTTTGTGTCTGTTTGCAATTGTGATATATTCTGTATCTTGGCAACCCTCACAATAAGATATGCCATCTGTATCCTGGCAGACTGTTTTATGTTTTTATTAGTGATCTTCTAGTCAATGGTATTATTCTTGTCTTAATTTAATGATGAAAGAATATTGTTATAATAATAATAATTAACTTTATTTTATATAGTGCCTTTAAAGGTAGCTTCTCAAAGCGCTTTACAGACTGGCAACAGCAACAACAACAATTAAAAATAAACAATAAAAATATACAAGTGAAACACGATGAGAATTCACAGAGGAGACAGTAGATGGTGGTACTAAATACAGTAGGAGCAGAGTGGTAAAAAAGGCTTCTTCAAAAGAAGAAGGTTTTGAGTCTGGATTTAAAGGACTTTAGAGAAGGTGACTCTCTGATATCCTTGGGGAGAGAATTCCAGAGCTTAGGGGCATAACAGATGTAGACCCCTGTCAAGGCGGGCTTGGGGGACAGACCAGAATTAGAGGAGCAAAGGTTGGGAGAAAGCAGCCAGAATTCAATGACTTCACTGAACAAATTGCAGCACTTTCAAAGTTCAGCATCTAGAATTTTAGGACCTGCTCTGATGGCTATTTTCCTTGTTCACTAAGCTCTACACCAGCTTTCAGTTTAGTATTCACTTTTAAAGACCTCACCCATAGTTTTTGAGACTCTGAATGGTTTGTCTCCCCTGCTACATACAGTATCTAATTTAATGTCCAGTTATATCACCAGCTGCTACTTTCTCTTGTATTGTAATGATTTGATCAATGTCTCCTGTCTGTCCCCAGGACCAGACCTCAGATGATAGATGTGGAATGCACTCCAAAATAGTATTTGAAAATAAAATGTGCTTTTAAATCTATTTTTAATAGTGGGTTTTATTACTTAATCTATTTTTAATAGTGGGTTTTATTACTTACATTGTCTGTTATTTATGTACAGTTTTTTGGAATTCTTTACATGAAAAGCATGTTATTATTATTTTAATAATGATGATGATGTGATATTTGATCAGGACATGAAACTACCAAAAAAGATAAATGGAAATTGGTCAGATAATGTCCTCAGAAACTAGCAGTGCTGTAACCTTAGCTCCTCCTCCTGTTTCTGCATTGAAACATTTAGGTTTCAGTTTCACTTCCATTCCTGCTGCTATGTTGAGAACAACAGAAAGTCACTTCTCAATGCAACTGCAGGCCTCAAGTCTTATTACTTTATACCGAGCTTCAAGGAAGGAACATTTGGATTCAGTTATACTGCATTTCGTCTAAGATAAAAGAAGATGGGACAAGCAAGCTCAGTCATATCTCAGGTAATTCACAGTCTGACATCTAGGAAATGTTTAAGTTTAAGTCACTGCCAATACTGGTAAGCATGATTTAGCATGTTAGCATGTGAGGTAGAACTAGATATCAACCTTAATGGACAATATTTGTATATTACTATAATAGATATATCTTCATCAAAGTCAAAGATGATTTTCAATGTGTTTCTCTCTGTGATT